CCCCCCCCCATCCCCCCTCCTCCCTCCCTCCACCCCCCCCATCCCCGCCCCATCCCTCCCTCATCCCCCTCATCCCTCATCCACCCCCATCTCCCCACCCCCATCCCTCCCTCATCTCCCCCCCTCCCTCAGCCTTCCTCCCCCCTCCTCCCTCCCCTTGCCTCCCTTCGGGGACTAGGCCGGGCGGTGGCGTAAGTGGTGCACCCTCGTGTGCTCCAGTGCGCCACCCGCCTGGCCTGTCGTCCCCACTCTCACCGAGCACGCACCGTGCGAAGCCGCGCGCGTCGCATCAGCCCCTCGCCTCCTCGCCCTCCCCCCCGCGAGCCCGCCGGCCGAGGAGCCCGCGCGGCCCGCTGCGGGCCCGCCGGCCGAGGCCGCAGGCCAGCAGGCGCCCGCGGAGGCGGCCAGGCAGCCGACCGCGCCCCCTTCCGAAGACGGCGACGAGGACGACGAGGACGACGAGGACGAGGAGGACGAGGACGACGAGGACGACGAGGACGACGAGGACGACGAGGACGGCGAGGACGAGGACGACGGCGGCGGCGGCGACGAGGACGACGACGCCGAGGACGACGACGAGGACTAGGGATGCGCGCGGATCCTCACGACGACGGCGTCGATGGCGGCGGCGGCGGCGGCGACGACGACGACGACGACGACGACGACGGCGACGAACGACGACGAGGACGAGGACGAGGACGACGACGACGACGACGAGGACGAAGACGCGCGCGGATCGTGATGACGCGGGCGACAGAGAAGAGGAGGACGAGGAGGAGGAGGAGGAGGAGGAGGAGGATCATGAGGAACAATTGGAGGAGGAGGAGGAGGAGGAGGAGGAGGAGGAGGAGGAGGAGGACGAGGAGGACGAGGAGCAGGAGCAGAAGCAGGAGGAGAAGGAACGGAGGAGGAGGAGAAGGGGGAGGAGCAGGAGGAGGAAAATGCGGTAGAGCAGGAGGATGAGCAGTATCAGCAGGAAGAGAAGCCAGAGCAGCCGGAGGACGACGTGGACGACGACGACGACGACGACGACGACGACGACGACGACGACGACGACGACGTCCGCCGCCCCTTCGATGTTCTCTTGAGAACGCTCGGAGTGTTTTGTTGTTACATGTTCACTTTTGTTTGGTTTTGAGGTCACTTGTTGCTCCGTTCTAGGATTGCAGTCTCGCCCTGTTTTCGGTGCGTTTCGTGATCCATTTAGACTTGTTTTTAACTGCCGTTCTTTGTTCTGTGTTCCGTTCACGTCAAGTGGTTTCTGTTTTGGGTTGCAGCTGCTGCTTCTTCTTCTGTCTTGGGTTGCCGTTGTCCGCTCATGTGTGGGGCCGGGCGGGTGTCGTTTTTTTGCTCTGTTTTGGGCCGTATGTCTTCCTTGATGGTCGACCGCGACACGAAAAGTCGAACACGGGAGAAACAACCGAGGCCGCGCCCGGCGCTTCGAAGAACAACTGAGGCTCCGCCCCGTCCTCCCACACTGGAGCTCGCGGCCCTGGCATCGCTCGGACGTGTGTTTTTTTTCTCGGCGAGGGCCATCGAGGAGCATCCGTGATCATTTGGCAGAAAAGCCACGCACGAAACCGAAAAAAGCACGGGGAATGGACGTCCGAGCGATGGCCAGCGGCCGGGCGCTCCCGAGGGGGCTCCCGGGCACTCTTGGCCGCTCCTATTTGGGGGGGGTCCCTCGCGCGACGTGACTCCAGAGGCGAGCGGCCCCAGATCGGCCCAGGAGGGCCCCAAGACCCAGAGATCCGACGCACTGAAAAATTCAAGTCGGAGGTTTTTCCCAACTTTCGGCCTCTGGGGGCCCTCGCCGGGCCTGGGGGCCGTCAACAGAAACGATTCAGGATGAACAAAAAAGCCGGTCCCGGGGAATGCGGGTCGAGACTTCTGGGGACCCCGTATATGGAACAAATCACGACGTCGGATCTCTGGGGACGGCCCCAAAGATTGACGAACGGACAACACGCACCCATACCCATAGGGGGGTCGTTGGGAGGAGGACTGGCTATGGGTATGGGAACGCTCCCGTTCGAGCGGGGACTCCCATCCGACAACACGCACCCATAGCCCTCTCCGATCCCCCTATGGGTATGGGTGTGTGTTGTTGGTTCGTCAAAGATGGTCCAATGAGGGCCCCGAGGCGCCTAAGGGGACCGCCCCCCTCCGCCCTGCCGCTGCCGCTGCGCTCTCGCGCTGCCCCCTTCCGGGGGCCGGGAGCCGCCCGGGGGGGCGCCGCTGGCGAGGCCCAGCCCGGCGCCAGCCGCCGCGTCCACTGGCGGAGGCCGGCCGGGCAGGGCGGAGGGAGCGAGGGAGGGAGGAAGGGAGGAGGAGGAGGATAACGACGAGGAGGAGGAGGAGGAGGAGGAGGAGGAGGAGGAGGAGGAGGAGGAGGAGGAGGAGGAGGAGGAGGAGGAGGAGGAGGAGGAGGGAGGAGGAGGAGAGGAGGGGGAGGGGGAGGGGGAGGAGGAGGAGGAGGAGGAGGAGGAGGAGGAGGAGGAGGAGGAGGAGGAGGAGGAGGAGGAGGAGGAGGAGGAGGTAGGAGGATAAGGTAGGAGGGGAATGAGAAAAAAATGGGATGAAAAGGATCACGCTGATGAGCATGTAGGAGGTGTACACGCCGGGTGTACACGCCGGGTGTTGAAAGCAGGTATCTCTGGAGTCGCGGATGCCGATCTATTGTTGCCGCAGTCTTACTTCAAGAGACGAGCGGCTTTCCCGTTCCCTCCTCTCCCCAGGGGGCGGGCGCGAGCCCAATCTAATTACTGCCAACGCCCTCCTACTTCATGTGTCTACCCGCTTCTTCGGACCGACGGGTAGGTGTGGAAGGAGCAACCCCCTTCCAGTGCCGGCGTTTTTCCTCCGTTTCGGCCGCCAGACTTTGGGATTTGTTCTCGGGCCCCGTGTCGGGGGTTCGTAGAGGGAGCGGTATCCCAAGGTGGTGCTGGGAAACGGGCCCAGCTGGATGTTCCGGTTTAGCGGATTGAACGCGTTTCCTTATTCCAAGGGCCGTTCGGAGCGATTTCCCTTCCAACTCCACCTTTGCCCCAACCACACCTTTGTGACCCCCCGACAGGGGGCCATCAAACATTGGTCTGGAACAGAACAGAGCATGTTAGCCCACGAGGAAGATGTGTCAGGAGGCCTGGGGCCGCGCATGGAAGAAATCACATCGGAGGATGTCAGGGAAAGGAGGTTGATGAGAAGGAGGATGAGGAGGAGGAGGGTGCGAAGGGGAGAAGGAAGAGGAGGCTCCTCCCCCCGTGCACCCACCAGGGATAGGAGGAGCCTCTAGCGCGCCCTTCCCACTGGAGAAAGCCCTGGCGCGCACTCGTCAAGACTTGCGGTCGGGAACTCGTGCTTCGCGTGACGCTCGCCCAGTTCTGGTCCACTGCGCGCGGACGCGACACGCTGACCACTTCCCAGCTTCCAGGCGTCGGCGTCCCGAGCATCTCCCGGCCTCCCGCCCCGCGGAGCGGAGCGAGACGCCATCCTTTGGCAAGGCACAGCGTGTCGCCGTGTCCTCCGCCGCGGCACGCTAAGCAAAAACTATTGACCGTAAGGAAAGGAGGAGGAGGACGACGACGACGAGGACGAGGAGGAGGAGGAGGAGGAGAAAAGAGGAGAAGGATGATGAGGAGGAGGAGAAGGAGGGGAAGAAGGAAGAAGATGAGGACAAGGTTCCCCCTGGAGGGTGCCTTGGCGCATCCTCAGTACATGCAGTTTTCGCGTGGGCATTCCGGAACAGAAAGCGACATCTGGAGCGTGTTCTGGCGGTGATTTCGTGGCTTCCGATCACGTCCCGGTTCTTTGGCTGTTCGGCATCCAGCGCCATGCCAGTGCCTTCGCTCTGGCTTCCCGGCGGGAAGCCCAGCACATATCGAGGCGAAGCCCTCCCCTGCCCACAGAGCCCCCCCCCAAAAAGCACCTCGGCGACAACAGTGCACGCCCCCAAACGAAAAATAATCCTCGAGCTCACCCCCTTGTGCTGCACTTCCTCCTCTCTCGGAGGTCTCTGGAGGTCAGCGGTATCCTGGAGGCCTCCAGGGGACCAAAAAGACAGAAAATGATTTACGCTTCGCGTATCGCCACTAGCCCATCCAGGAAAGATGAGCCCGAGGGAACCGGAGGCCTCCGGGATGTCTCTCGCAGTCGCTGGGGATGTCTCCTGCGGGGCTCTGGGTGGCCTCTCAGGGAGCCTTGGGGGCCTCTTGGGGGGCTCTTGGGGGCCTCTGGGAGCGTCTTCGGGGCCTCTTGGGGGCGTCTTGGGGGCATCGGGCCTCTTGGGGCCTGCTTGGGGCCCTTCTGGGGGCCTTGGAGGTCTTCTTGGGAGCATCTTGGAGGACATCGATCATAGAAGTTGTGGGCCTCAACTAGCATTGCCTATCGAAAACCAATGAAATCATCTTTTGGGGCTCTCTTGGGGTGCTCTTGGGGCCGTCTTGGAGCCCTCTTGAGCCCCTCTTGGGTTTCTCTTGAGCCCTCTTGGAGCCATCTTGAGCCCCCAGAAGGCCACGGAAGCGAACGGGCGAGAAGGCCAAAGTCATGGAATGTCCTGAGGTTTTGGAAGGATGTTGGTGTATTGGGGCCATCCTGGGGAGCCCCCAAGGCCACTTGGACCCGTCTTGAAGCCGTCTTGGGACCTCCTGAAAGATGATTGAAGCCATCTTGAGCGATCTTGCGCTATCTTGAGAAATCTTGGAGGCCATCTTGGGCTATCTGGGCCCTCTTGGAGCCATCTTGGGCTATCTTGCACCCTCCGACCGCTCGCCGCCCCTCCCGTCCAGACCCAGGGGGAGAGGGGAGGGAGAGATTTTAAGACACCTCTCCCAGACGCAAACTGTTTGGCTCACTCCCGCCCGCCCTCAGAACACAAAGTAGCACTCGAGTCTCACAATAGTCAGAGGTCGTCTTTTGATGGACAGCTAGCGCTCCATGCGCGCCTGGGGCCCAGGCGTGCCAGACACGCCTGGTGCACCAGATGCGCCACGTGCTCCACGTGCGCAAAGTGCGCCGCATGCTCCAGCCGCGCCAGATCGCCACGTTCGGGGCATGCGCACAATGTGCAAGGTGCGCCCGCGCACATCGGGAAGCATGTCGCCCCCCACCATCTTTGTCGTAAGCTAAGGCACACCTGCGGCGGAATGGCCATCATGATGCCCGATGGTCCTGCGCATAGAAGGCAATATGCCAGCACCCCCGCCGACCCTGTCAAGAACTAATGCAACATGATCGCACGCTGCCCGCGCATGATCCAGATTTCGACGCGAAGGGTAGTCTGAATTGTTTTATTGGCAGGGGTGGTGGCCCTGCGCGCATCAGGCCAGATGGTGGCATCCCCGCCGTCCCTGTCAAGAAGCCGTGCAGAGTGCTCGCGGGCCCCCCGAACACGACCCCAGAGCTTGCAGCAACGTGCACCTTGCATTGGCTCTTGCAAGGGAATGGCGGATGGCGGGGGGGATCCTCGTTGTCCGGGTTTGTCGCCAGTCGGGTGGAGGCAGGGGTGCGTGCTAGTAAGGAACAGTAGCCAGGCGACCCCCCCAAGAGGACGGCCGTGTCGCTCACTCCCGCCCGCCCTCCCACCACAAAAGTAGCACCAGAGCCTCAGCATGAGCATGGGCCGCCATCGGCAACATCGGGAACAGAAGCAGACGCCAGAGAGGTGCACGACGCCCGCGAGGTGCACGTCGCGTGTCCGGGCACCCGTACCATCCTTGCCAAGCAACAATGCACAGTGATCGCGTGGCGCCCGTGCATGGGCGAGATTTCGCCGCAACGTGTACTTCGTTTTGCTTTTTGCAGGGATGATGGGCCTGCGCGCAGCAGGCGAAATGCCAGACCTCCTCCACGCCCGCGTTCCTGTCAAAAACGAATTCATAGTGCTCGCTCGGTGCCCGCTCGTGATCCAACTTTTGCCGCAAAATGCACGTTGGATGTTTTGTTGACTGGTGGTGGGGGGGTTGTCATGATTCCGGGTTCGCCCCTGGTCGGGTGGGGGAGGGGCTATTCAGGAAAAGTTATCAAGCTCCGCGCCATCGACAACCATGGGGAACCAGTGCAGGCGCCAGCCATGTGCGCGAAGCCTGCGAGGTGCACCGCGCATGCCAGGTGCGCCACGCGCACCATGTGCGCCACCCGCACCAGGCGCGCCGCATTGGGCAGCACGTCGACCCCCCAGACTCCCTTTCAAAATCAGTTCAAAGGCAAGGCGGGTTTGCCCAGCATTGTGTTGCGTGTGCACGCGCAGGCCGTATGACGTCCCCCCCCCGTCCAGCCAATGGTGAAGCGCACTCATGATGTGTTGATGTGCAGGTGTAGTGGGCCTGCTCACAGCGGGCAATCTGCCAGCGCCCCCGCCGCCTCTGTCAACAAAAGCCTGCAGAGTGAACGGGGGGCGCCCGCGCAGGATCGAGATTCTGTGGTGCAATCTGCATTCCTTATATTTGCTGCAAGGGGTGGTTGGAGCGGGGTGCAGGGCACACGCATGCAATATGCCGCCAACCCCGCCGTCTATGTCAAAACGCATGCGGAGTAATCGTGGTGCGCCCGCGCATGCTCCAGATTCGGCCGCGAAGTGCCGTTGTATTGCGTTTGGTAGGGAGGGGGGGGGGCTGGCATTGCACCCAGCAGGCATGTGCTTGCAACCCCGCCGCTCTCGTCAAAAACGCATGCGAAGTCATCGCGTGACGTCCGCGCATGATCCGGATGTTGGTGCAATCTGCATTTCGTATTGTTTTGTTGCAAGGCACCCCTGCCCGAGGGGAAAGAAGGGGAGTGGAGGCGACAGCACGCTAAACCACCTACCCCCTGAAGGGCTGGTGGGACTTGTCAAACAACTTGATCCTCGATTTTCCCCCCGAACGGCTCGTGCCGAACCCGACATGATTTCGCTAGTGTTGTCTCCTCGTCCAGTGGGGCCTTTCTCTCACTAGGCCTCTGGCGGCGACGTCTTGTGAGGCCGGTGTGCCGCCTACCTGATGCATGCGAGCGCGAGGACGTCACCCAGTCGTTGTCGGGCCCGGTCCCCGAGAGGGAGCGGCAGCTTGAGCGTCGCGCAGTGGGCGGGCGGTAAACGGGGGGGGGCAGCGAGGGCTGCAGCAAAAAGGGCCCTTTGGGGCCCCTGAAGGCGGAAGGAGCCCTTCAGGGCCCCAAAGGGGGACTTTCGGGCCCGAGAAGTGCACCTTTCTTCCCCCCATTGATTCCCCCCCCTCCCCATTCAGCGACGCCCACGCAGCGGGGACCCCCCGCCCTCCCCCCCCGCCGGCCGAGTTCTGTATCCCGGAAGGGGGGGGCTATACCCCGACTGGACGGGCTATACCCCGGCAAAGTTGGGTGATTCCCCAGTGGGAGCTCCAGGAGCCCCCCGAACACTGCCCCCCTCCTCCCCCCCCCCCGCCGGCCGAGTTCGATATCCCAGTAGGGCGGGCTGTACCCTGTTCGGACGGGCCATACCCCGGCAGAGTTGAGTGATTTCCTGGGGTGGGAACTCCAGGAGCCCCCTCAAGAACACAGCCGCCCCCCAAAGAGACGAGCCAGGAAAGACCGAGCCCGCCTGCCGACGTGGCTGGGCCAGGCTCACGCATGAAACGTGCAATCGCGGCGAGGGGAGCTTCTCATTTGTTTTACTCTTTATATATATACACATTATATATGTATATATCTATATGTATACAGATGTATGTCTATCTAAATGTGTATGTATGTATGTATGTATGTATGCATGCATGCATGCATGCATGCATGTATGTATGTATGTATGTATGTATGTATGTATGTATGTATGTATGTGTGTATGTATGTATGTATGTATGTATGTATGCATGCATGCATGCATGCATGCATGCATGCATGTATGTATGTATGTATGTATGTATGTATGTATGTATGTATGTATGTATGTATGTATGTATGTATGCATGGTAAAGCAACAAAGCAAAACAAACAACTGCTGGAGCCTCGACACCCCCAAAACACCCGCCCCCGCCCCTCCCGAGAGGCGGCGGGTCCTGGACTCCGAGGCCCGCGGCGACGGCCGCCCAGGACGCGGGGCCGCGGCCCGCCACTGCGGGCAGCGCCAGGCCCCCGGCCCGCAGCGGGGGAGGGGGAGGGCACAGCGGGGGAGGGGGGCGGCAGGAGCCGGCCACGCGCCGAGGGGGGGCCTCAGGCGACGGCAGAGGGGGGGTCTCGGGGGGCCCCCGCCGGGCCCCGGGGCCACCAAAAGAGAAGGACTCGGGACGAAGAGCCGGCCCTAGGGGAGAGGAGGTCCAGACGGCCAGGGCCCACGCATCGAGAAGCTGGGAGCGGCCCGATGCCTGGGGGGGGGGGGGGCAGGGGCAATACACGGGGGGGCCATGCGGGGGTCAGGCGATCGCAAACATGGATCGAGGGGGCGTGGAGTAGCGACGGGTCCCCTGTCCATGCGACATCGCAAATCTCCGCCGCCGAGAGGCGGCCCCGGCCGCATTTGGGGAGGGCACCTCCCCCGATCCATGGATTTGGCGTCCGCGCGCCAAATCCATGGATCGCTAATCCATGTTTGTGCGCCCCCGAGGGTCTGTCTAGGCCTCCCCGATGGGGTCTGGGGTCGGAGGATCGCACCGCATCGCCGATGCATCGTCGATGCGGCTCGATGTGGAGCCCGAGTTTCTCCACGCGGCCGTCGCCGCTGCATCGCCGATGTATCGCCAATGCATCGACGATGCATCGGCGCTGCATCGGCGCTGCATCGGCGCTGCATCGGCGATTCGGCGGGATCCTCCGACCCCATCTACTCCGATCCCATCTGGGAGGTCTCTGGTTTTGGAGAGGGGGGATGGCTTCTTAGAAGCACCCCTGATTCTTAGAAGGCGCGGGCCTTACCTGTAGATGTGAGGCCGCCGCCTTCTCAGAAGCAGACTCCTTCTAAGAAGTCGTCCCCCCTCCCCCTATCCCCCCTGTGCGCGCCGCCGACGGAGGGGGGCGCTAAAGGTGCCCGTGGCCCAAGGCGCCCCCAGCTTTTCGCTCAGTGTCGGAGCCCCTGGGGCCCCCTGGGCATCGTTACACGGCGGCCGCCAGCACATGCGGGAGGCGCCCGACGGTGTGGCCTCGCGGTTCGGCAGTCGACCAGGCTTCCCGCCAGCCAGTGTCCTTTTTTCAATTCCCAACCATCCTGTGGTGTTGGGTCTTCGTTTTGAAGAGACGTCGCCCCGCGTTCCTTCCTCCTCCTTCCTCCTCCTCCCCTTCCTCCCCCCTCCTCCCCCTCTCACACCCATTCTGGCACACCCCTCACACGTTTCGTGGCCCCATAGGGAGCTCCACCGAAGGCCCCAGTGGCTGCGCCCGCATGCGGTTCCACCCCCCATTCTGGCACACCCCTCACACGTTTCGTGGCCCCATAGGGAGCTCCACCGAAGGCCCCAGTGGCTGCGCCCGCATGCGGTTCCACCCCCCATTCTGGCACACCCCTCACACGTTTCGTGGCCCCATAGGGAGCTCCACCGAAGGCCCCAGTGGCTGCGCCCGCATGCGGTTCCACCCCCCATTCTGGCACACCCCTCACACGTTTCGTGGCCCCATAGGGAGCTCCACCGAAGGCCCCAGTGGCTGCGCCCGCATGCGGTTCCACCCCCCATTCTGGCACACCCCTCACACGTTTCGTGGCCCCATAGGGAGCTCCACCGAAGGCCCCAGTGGCTGCGCCCGCATGCGGTTCCACCCCCCATTCTGGCACACCCCTCACACGTTTCGTGGCCCCATAGGGAGCTCCACCGAAGGCCCCAGTGGCTGCGCCCGCATGCGGTTCCACCCCCATTCTGGCGAGGCCCCAGCTCCACCGAAGGCCCCATTGCTGCGCCCGCATGCGGCCCATTCCACCCCTCACACGTTTCGTGGCCCCATAGGGAGCTCCACCGCAGGGCTTCCACCCCCCATTCTGGCACACCCCTCACACGTTTCGTGGCCCCATAGGGAGCTCCACCGAAGGCCCCAGTGGCTGCGCCCGCATGCGGTTCCACCCCCCATTCTGGCACACCCCTCACACGTTTCGTGGCCCCATAGGGAGCTCCACCGAAGGCCCCAGTGGCTGCGCCCGCATGCGGTTCCACCCCCCATTCTGGCACACCCCTCACACGTTTCGTGGCCCCATAGGGAGCTCCACCGAAGGCCCCAGTGGCTGCGCCCGCATGCGGTTCCACCCCCCATTCTGGCACACCCCTCACACGTTTCGTGGCCCCATAGGGAGCTCCACCGAAGGCCCCAGTGGCTGCGCCCGCATGCGGTTCCACCCCCCATTCTGGCACACCCCTCACACGTTTCGTGGCCCCATAGGGAGCTCCACCGAAGGCCCCAGTGGCTGCGCCCGCATGCGGTTCCACCCCCCATTCTGGCACACCCCTCACACGTTTCGTGGCCCCATAGGGAGCTCCACCGAAGGCCCCAGTGGCTGCGCCCGCATGCGGTTCCACCCCCCATTCTGGCACACCCCTCACACGTTTCGTGGCCCCATAGGGAGCTCCACCGGACGCTCCAGTGGCTGCGCCCGCATGCGGTCCCACCCTCCATTTCGGCACACCCCTCACACGCTTCGTGGGTGGTTCCATCGGGAGCTCCACCCAACGCCTCAGTGGCTGCGCTCGCATGTGGTTCCCCCCCCCCAGTTCGGCACACCCCTCACACGGTTCGTGGCCCCATAAAGAGCTCCACCGAAGGCCCCAGTGGCTGCGCTCGCATGCGGTTCCAATCCTTTTTTCGGCACGCCCTTCAGACGTCTCGTGGCCCCATAGGGAGCTCCACCGAACGCCGCAGTGGCTGCGCCCGCATGCGGTTCCACCCCCCATTTCGGCACACCCCTCACACGCTTCGTGGCTCCATAGGGAGCTCCACCGAAGGCCCCAGTGGCTGCGCTGGCATGCGGTTCCACACCCCATTCTGGCACACCCCTCGCACGTTTCGTGGCCCCATAGGGGGCTCCACCAAAGGTCCCAGTGGCACTGCCCGCTTGCGTCCGCCACCACCCAACACAGCCCTTGTTCCCTGCGCTTCACCCACCCAGAACAGCGCTTCGTAGCCCTATAGGGAGCTCCACCAAAGGTCCCAGCGGCACCGCCCGCATGCGTCCGCCACCACCCTGCACAGCCCTTGCTCCCTGCCTGCGTTTCACCCACCCAGTACAGCGTTTCGTGGCCCCATAGGGAGCTCCACCGAAGGTCCCAGTGGCACCGTTCGCATGCGTCCGCCACCACGCAGCACAGCCCTTGCTGACCGCGTCTCGCCCACCCAGTACAGCGTTTCGTGGCCCCATAGCGCCACCGAAGGTCCCAGTGGCACCGCCCGCATGCGTCCGCCACCACCCAGCACAATTGCGGCATTCACAACTGCATATGGTTGGGTCCTTCGCCAGGCTAATTATTTTTTTGCGGGCGTTCTCACCCGCATCGAGGACGACATGGTTGCGTCCGATTTGTTTCCCAACCATCCTGTGGTGTTGGGTCCTCGTTTTGAAGAGTTGGGTCCTCGTTTTGAAGAGACGGTCCCCGCGTCTCCTTCCTCCTCCCTCCTCCCCCTCCTTCCTCCCTGCGTTTCACCCACCCAGTACATCGTTTCGTGTCCCCATAGGGAGCTCCACCGAAGGCCCCAGTGCCATCGCCCGCATGAATCACCCACACCCATTTCGGCACACCTCTCACACGTTCCGTGGCCCCATAGGGAGCTCCACCGAAGGCCCCAGTGCCACCGCCCGCATGCGTCACCTACACCCATTTCGTCACACCCCTCCTGCACTTCGTGGCCCCATAGGGAGCTCCACCGAAGGCCCCACTGCCACCGCCCGCATACGTCACCCACACCCATCTCGGCACACCCCTCACACGCTTCTTGGCCCCATAGGGAGCTCCACCGAAGGCCCCACTGCCACCTCCCGCATACGTCACCAACACCCATATCGGCACACCCTCACACGTTTGGTGGCCCCATAGGGAGCTCAGGGAGCTCCACCGAAGGCCCCGGTGCCACCGCCCGCATGCGTCACCCGCGCCCTTCCGGCACACCCCTCCCGCGTTTCGTGGCCCCATAGGGAGCTCCACCGAAGGCGCCAGTGCCACCGCCCGCATGCGTTACCTGTCCCGACTTGCTTTCAATTGTGCGATTTGGCAGCCGCTGACTAAGACTGCCACCGCTAGCTGGCAGCAGGCGCATGCGTCAGTGCACTGCCCGATGCTTTGGAGGCTCAAGTACAGGTTTCACTATGACGAGCGTGACCGCGGGGTGGAGCCGCGTTGGGACTGCAGTATCGCACGGCTTCCTTTCTGCACGAAGTTGGGTCTCTTTCTCTCGTGGCCGAGACCGAGCGCAAGTGTGAAGCTCGAGCTGCAGAGTGGCGCAGGTGTGCTCAAGCTGCTGATCCTTCGGAGACCCGGCGCGAAGTCGTGCGCGATGTCCGCGGCGCGTCTCTCGAAGAATGCGGGGCGGGAGCGTCGGCGGGGGCCATTGCCGAGTGCATGCAGCTCAGGGACGAGCTCCTACGAAAAAAGGCGCACGCTGAGCAGGAGCTGTTTCTCAGAAGCCCGCAGGCAAGAGCTTCGTCGACGCGGCCGCGAAACTCGTCGGTAGCAGGCGCGGTTTGATCGTGACAGTGCGGCTCGAAAGTTTCGGGAGGCTCAACTCGAGGTTGACCTGAGCCACTGGAGTGCGGCGTGGAAGCTGGCTTGCCAAGTGGGTGCGAAGTGCCAGGGCGTGCGTGGTCGGAGGTGCAATGCTCTGCCTCGTGACAGTGATGATCGCTCCCCAACTCGCGTTCCGCGCCCCCGCTCGGCAACGCGGATGCAGGGTTTCTTCGGACAGATTCGCACGGCGTGTCGACCCCCAGCTCGGTGGCATTGATCTCGCACCCTCAAGCTTCCGAAGGGCAGCGCTAGGAGAGATGCGACATGCATGACGCTCGCTTCTGTCCGATTGGGAAGGCCGGGCACCGCGAAACGTTCGCCGGGCGCGCGCGCTCTGAGTTGCCACACCACACTCTTGGTCACGCGCTGCGTCGCGCCCGGCAGGGTGCTCAGCTCGTCTCTCGGCTGCGTTCTTGGCGACTTCCGAAAGTTAAAGGTCTCGCGCCTGCAGCTGCAGAAGGAACTGAGCAACGCCTTCCCGTGAACGAGCCGCGACGTGCTTGCAGATGTAGTTTTAGGTCGGGCGTGTCCAGGCGGATTTTGGGCGAAAATGAAAGATACTCAAAACATACCCCACAATAGTCAGAAAATAGTCCCCAGACTATTTTTCACTATTTTTGATTGTTCCTCCTTTCGAGGGACAGGCCCGACTTAAATGAAGTTGGCTCCGTCATCCCCGACCGGCGGGGCCGGCAGCTCCTGTTGCGGCGCCCTTCCGAGGTCGCCGTGGAGGCGGCGGAGGGCGAGGGGGTTGGCCGCTTTCGCCCCTCGCCACGGCGCGGGCGTGGGAGACGGCAGCGCGCGCGGGCTGCTCGTTCGTTCTCTCATCAGACTTTTGAGTTCGTCGATCTGGAATCACGCGCTGCTGGAGACCAAGCATGATCGGAGGCTGCCAGAAGGGCTCGCTGGACAAAGGTTAGTCTCGCTGGACTTGAGGCCCCCCCAGCCCGACCCTAGGCACTCCAGCACGATCTGATGCGCACCGGCAGCCGTCGAACTCAACCTTCTTGAACCAGACCTTCTCGCCGTCCTCGACATGACACGCCTGAAGGTTCAGAGGCCCCCCTGTCGGTAGCGTCGGCTCCCATCGAATGTCCGCGCGCTCGGCAGTTGGCGGGCCTCTCGCTCAGAGATCATGCCGACGACGTTGCGCAGGCTATCTCCTCAGCTGACTGTAGCCCTTTTGGCGCCGAAGCGCTCGCCCCTGCCTTCACCCACCTTCTCCCCGCCAAGCTTCAGGAGCAGGAGGGCTTCGTTCAGAAGGCGGATGAAGAAGTGGTTCTTGGCACTGGTGGGCACGCAGCTACTCGCGCAGCACTCGCGGGCACGGTGATTTACCCTGGACAACCTCGGGCTCGAGCGGTGTATCTTGGAGGCGTTGAGCAACGGGAGGGGCGTTCTGGGGCCGAGGCTTGGGCTCGCATCGATGCTTCTCGCTCGGCCCGGTGCACATTCGGGCGCTTCTGGAACCGGCATGCCGCTCGCAGGCTTAAACTGATGCCTTTCTTGGGGGGTGGTCCACAGCGCAGCCTGCTCGGGCCTCGGGGCGCACCTCCTGGGAAACAAAAGATCATGCGAGGCTCGACTCCGTGATGTCGGGGTTCGCGACGGTTGCTCTCAGCGGTGCCGCTCGTGAGGTAGGCGAACGTGAGCGCGTGGGATCGAGGGCCCTACAGGCGCGGGCGTTACACAAGAGGCTGCGCATAGCTGACGCACGTGCGGAGCTCTTGGCGAGGAAGATCCGTTACTGGCATCACAGCTCGCCCGATGTCCGTATGTCTCTGTCGAGCCTGTCGCGGTGCTGTTCGGCCACTCCATGGCGCGCCCGTCTTTCTTGCGCACCAGATGAAATATGATATCTTGGCGCTCTGCGTTACCCCGCGTTGCCGCCGCTTTCTCGAACAGGGGCGCTCGATTCGGGGTATCTTTACCGACGATCGGATCGCGCTGGCGTTCGTTTCGCGCGGGCCCCAAAGGACTTCGGTGGGCCTACTGGGACTGCGCCTCAAATTATCTTCTTCGTCCTCCTGCGCCATCTGGGGCATCTGTTCCCCCTGTTCCATGGCCTCCGTCACAGGGTCACGCGTGCGAGCGCCCCGGCGAGAGTGGTGACACCCTCGGCAAAATGTTCTACTCAAGGTCTGCGCTGCAGGCCCATCTTTGTCACCATCCTGCTCGCAGAACACGCGCCCCCGGTCGTCTGCTGGTCGCGCCTGATCGGTGCTGCTATTCTTCCTCGACGTTCTCCCCATGAGATCTTGGCTGGGCGTCTCGCGGTGCAGCCGTGTAGGTCGACGGGGTGTTTTGCTGAGTCCAGCGCGCTCTCCCCTGCCCTGAAGGCCCCCGTCGCTTTGGCGCGCCCTGCGCGTGTAGACCCGGACAGTGTACATCCTCACCGCCGTGAAAGTCTTGCCGAAGCGTCTTGGGTCCAACGTTAAATCGGGCGTGGCCCTCTACAGTCGATTAAATTTTAGTTCGGGGACGATTGTTCATTCCTTTGTTTGTATTATTTTTGGTTATGGTTTGGCTATGTTTTCATTTTTCTCCCAAAATCCCTTTGTATGATGACACGCCCGACCCGAGTCCAGCGAGAGCTCCCCACCACCCGCGGAGCTGCAGCAGCACGGTCGAGCAGCTCGCGCCCCGCCGCCGCCCGACCTGCTCCTCGACGGCAGGCTTAATTCGGGCGTCAACAAATAGTCTGGGGATTTTTTTGAAGCATTTTTTGACCATTTTGAAATATTTCTAAGGGTATTTTTCATTTTTCGTCGAAATCCCCCCTGCAGGGGGACAGGCCCGACTCAACGCCAGGCCTCGCGGCGCGGGCCCCGAGCACGGGGCACGGAGCAGCGCGCGCCGGGGCCACGAGGGCGCCGCGGCGGCGAGCGCGCCCGCGGCATCGGGCGCGGAGCAGGTCGCCGACGGGCGCGGCGCCGCGGCCAGTCGGGCCGGACGAAAGGGGGGGACTGGGGCAGGGAGGGGGGTACGAAATGTGCTGCGTGCAGCTGGTTTCGGCCTCACCGAGGGGCCCATGCCTCGATGCATAGCTCCCTCGAGGCGCCGGGAGGCGCCGGGAGAATCAGCTACGTGAGCCGATTCTCGAGCCCCCCCTTTGCTATCCCCCCCCTCTCGCCCGACCCGAGCCAGGCGGCGCACCCTCCCCCCCATTCCCTCCAGCGCAGCCGGGCCGAGGCGGTCCTCAGTTCGGCCCCGCGCCAGATGTGGCAGCTGGTGGAGGATCACGGCAGCCTGGGGCAAGGCCTCCTGGATGGGGCCGGAGTAGAGTTTTAAATCGGACCTGTCCCTCGACAGGAGGAAACTCCCAAAATAGTCAAAACATAGTCTGGGGGCTATTTTCCAGTATTTCTGAATTGTTTAAAAGCATGTTTTGCTTATTTTTACTTTTCGTCCAACATCGGCATGTAGGGGGAGAGGCCCGACTTAAGAGTAGATGGGGTCGAAGGATCGCTCCGCATCGCCGATGCATCGGCGATGCGGCTCGATGCGGAGCCCGATTTGCTTTACGTCGGCGTCGCCGATGCATCGCCGATACATCGGCGATGCATCGGCGATCCTCCGACCCCATCTACTCCGACCCCATCTAGGAAACCTCTACTGGGCAAGGAGATCCACAGCGCCTTGGCCGCGTGCCAGTCGAGATCCAAGTCGTCTCCCCCGCGCTCGCCCGGCTCGCGCTAAAGCACGAGAACCCCATGAATCCTCTCGGCGGCCTCGACGAGATTGCCGGTTCACCTCGACGGCCACGACGCGGTGTGATGTCCGACGAGCCGAGAAGCGAATCTAGACGGCCCGACGACACTAGCCCAGATTATGCGGATGAGTTTCGAATTCAATCCATCTCCGAGAGACTCCTTCGAGCGGCAGCTGGTCCTATCCTATCTCCTCCGTTGAGTGCCAGTGTAGGCTCACAGCCGACCCGTCCATTCTGCTGGTAACATCCACGGGCTCGCAGCAAAGATTTCAGTTTCCGCTCATCTGATCAACGGGCTCGCAGCTGAGATCTTCGCCTCCGCTAGTGGAATCCACGGTCTCGCAGATGAGATCTTCGACTCTGCTGACCCTTCCCACGGGATCTGAGATGATATCTTCGACTCCGACGGGTGGTTCTTCGGGGCTACGAGACAGTCTCTTGGCTCGTCGGGTACCGCTCTGACGCCGCCGAATCCCTCGACTATGACTTCGTCCAGGCCGTGAAGTCTGTTCTCTGCCTCCACTCCGGTTCCTCATCTCGCTGTAGCTAGCGTGTTGCGTTTTTTTCTGGGGGTCAGGCCTCGTGCACAGTAGCTTCCTACTTCCTTGGTGCTCTACGGTCGACCGTGAGTCCTTGTTTATGTTAACTCTTGATGTCCGGGGAGGTTTCTGGCCCGAGTCAGAGCGGTCCCCCGCCTCCAACGTGTTGGCCCCCGTTGGTGTGTTGTCGTCTCCTGGACATCACGCTCCTGTTCCATTACCTTTGCCCAGACCCTTCGGCCTGTCGTCTTTGAACCGTTGGAAATCCAGCCGAGGAAGGGGGCGGGTGGGAGCACAGTGCTTCCAAGCCACGGGTGATTCGAAAATTGATTATGGAGCCATGGCGCACGCTAGATGTGATTGTCAGTCCGTGCCTGTTCCTGAAGGAGCCTTTGGCGGATTGGGGAGGGCCCTTGACCTATGCGAGCGCGCCTCTGCGGAGTGGTTTGTCGGTTCGTACTGCTCCTCCTCCTCCTCCTCCTTCATCTCCTCCTCCTCCTCCTCCTCCTCCTCCTCCTCCTCCTCTACCACCTTCCTCCTCTTCCGCCTCCTCCTCCTCCTGGTTATCCTCCTCCTGGTTCTCCTCCTCCTCGTCCTCCTCCTCCTCGTCCTCCTCCTCCTCTTCCGCTTCCTCCTCATGGTTCTCCTCCTCCCTCCGTCCTCCGTCCTCCATCCTCCATCAGGCCACGCGCAGCCGTCGCCGCCACTGGCGCCGCGCCCAAGCCAACGGCGACCACGCCAGGCGCCCGCTGGAGCTTGGTACCGCTCGGACGTGTGCACTTTTTCTCGGCGGGGGTTATTCAGGAGCATCCTGGATCATCCTGCGAACGAAAAACCACGCACGAAACCGACAAAAAAACACAGGGAAGGGGAGTAGAGGGGGTGGGTGAAGGGGCAGGCTGAAGGGCGGGCCGGGCCAGGCTGGGCCAACTCGGCTGCACGTCCAGCAGTAGGGGGGGCGAAGTGCAGCTTGCGCTCGAGAGAGGGTCGGCTATTCGGGGCGCTCGAGAGAGGGTCTCGCATTCGGGGGTCGAAGGAGTCAGTTGCCTTCTCTTCCTCGGCGGAAGGTCGGCGGAAGCTGGCGGAAGCAAAACGGATGCTCTTCCGCCAGCCAAGGGCGATGGAAGGCCAGCGAGAGCTGGCGGAAGTAAGAACCGCACCCCCTGGAGATTACACTCTTGGGGGTTCAGAGTTTCCGGGGTCGACCATTCGACTTTCCAAGGAGAGGGTTCATGTCGCCAAGACATCGGGGGGCCCAAAAGAAAAAGTCCTGGGGCACCTCGGGCAGATTGAAGAACATAGCAAGGTGTATCCGCTTACGCCGCACCGCCGGCCCCTGTAGCCTCGGATGCCATTGTTCCGGCAAGTTCTGTCGTAGAAGTGTGCTGGCGACGTGCGTCCTTGGGAAACAACACGCCGTATTCACAATGGACCCTGCTGGGTCATTTCGGAATATATTGGGGGCTGTTTAGGAGCCTCTTGTGGGTTCTTGGGCCCTGGTCGGGCTTTCTTGGGGGCCTGCTGATGGTTGCGGGGGCCCTCTTGGGTCGGGTATAGCCAGGTAAGGGAACCCGGTTAGTGGTATGGCCCCAAAGCCCCTAAATTGACCAGAATCACTAAACCAGGTCTGCCGTCGCTGGTGTTTTTCGGGTGACGGCAGTTCCGGTTCGTGGAACGGGGGCCTCCCCCAGTACAAATCACTAAACCAGGTCCAACTAAACCCAGTTCTGCAAACGCCCGATTGGGGCGCAGGGACCGAAGGCGAATCTGCGAGACAAATGGCTTATTGTTCTTGGGGCCCTGTTAGGGGTCCTCTTGGAGCGAGTTCGGGGCGTCTTTGGGGCCTCTTCGGGTCTGGAGGCCATCTAAGATGGCCTCCACGCTCCAAGATTCTTGGGACGTGCTGGGGCCATCCGAGGCGATGTGGAGGCCATCTTGGGCCGTCTGAGAGCGGCTGGAAGCATTGTAGCGGGCCATCGGAGGCCGTCTGGAAGCATGCTAGGAGCAGATGAGGCCGCCAGTCCGTCTCCTTAGGTGTGGGCGAAATGATGTATGTCTAAATCGTGAGCCCAGCACGGTGCGCAGCAGCAGCCAGGGCAGCGAGAGCTCAGCGACATCCTGCAGGGCGGAGTGGGCTCACACTCTGGGACCGTCTGCTGGCATGCGAGCGCCCGCGCCTGCCTGCAGACCCTTGAGCCTGAACGACGGCGGCATAGAGGAGGGAAAGGAGGAAGGAAGGAAGGAAGGAAGGAAGGAAGGAAGGAAGGAAGGAAAGAAGAGATGGAGGACGACGGAGGAGGGAGGCGGACGGCGGCAGCAAAGGCAACAGATGCACGCCGCAAAAAAGGCCACTGCCACCATCGGCCCCAAGCAGCCTGCCCTGCAACTCCTCCGCTGCAGCTTTTATCTGCGAGATGCCTGGCCCATCAGATCCTTAGCCATAAGCAGGCTCTCAGAGTCACGAGCCACGTCCGCACTGCACGTTGTTCTGGCATTGCAGGGACGACGCATCGGACTGTGCACGAGAACCGTCCAAGCAGAGCTCGGGGATACGCAAAGTGCAGAAGTTCCAGGACCCCTTCGAGGACGGCAATTGCTGACAGCTGAGCCAGCACACTCAAAGTAGACGTCCGAGCTAAGCTGCAGAGCAGCCATTCCCGTAGCCTGCAATGTTCCCTAGCCGTGCAGCCTGCCAGTCCAAGGTACACCCGGCGCGCTTGCGCAGCGCACCCTACGTGGTTTGGGCTCTTCAAATTTAATGACGAGGCAGAGATCTTTCGACAGCAGTCAGCTCCAGGCCACTCGCTCACTCACAAGTTACATACGTCGTCGGGCGCGCGGGCGCGTGAGCAGGAGATCACGCGCAAGCTGACACAACAAGGAATGGGTGAAACACTGCGCCGGCTAGACGCAGCAAGCGCAAGAGGAGGAGCAGGAAGAGCAACAGTTCTTCTTCAGGAGCCCCACGGATTTCAAAACACGACCTGAGCACGCTCGGGTGGAACCTCGACGGGGCCTTGGACTGGGGGCCAGAAGGAACCGGCGGGGGCTGGGGCTGCGGGGGCGGGGAGACATCGTCAAGGTGAGGAGGCGAGGGGAGGGGAGGGAATAGTGGGATGGGTGGAAAGCAGCAGTTCGCATTCACATGCGTACACGCGCGCCTGCCAGCCTCGCATGCTACTCCTCTCGCGCGATCAGTTGCGTGACGAAGTCGTGCCACGACGCGTGATTGACGCCGTCCATCAACTCTTTGTGTGGTGTATAACTAACACATTGCTATGTCGCAGCGCAGGCAATTACGCAGCCCAATCGTTGTTTGGTCGCCCCCTTCTCCTGTGAAGTCGTTGCGCCGCGGGCAGCACTGTGTCCTGGCTGCAGCGAGAGTGTTCACAGCGAATCTTGGGTGTCCGCCCGCCCCAGATTCCCGTTCCAGGTCACTTCTCGAAGGCAGCGGCATGGGCTCCGTGGCAGCGGTGAGTTCTCCTCCGATGGCGACTTTGATGACACCGAGGGTAGCACCTTCCCTGTCTGCAGCGAGAGCGTTCACAGCGAAGGGCACGGAGGAGGGAGGGAGGAGGGAGGGAGGGAGGGGGGAGGGAGGGGGGAGGGAGGAGGGGGGAGGGACAAGCTAGGTGCGCTCGCGTCATATCTGACATCCGATCCCTCCCTCCCATCCCTTACCATGGCGCAGATCCCCTCTCTACTTGCACAGTCGGATGTCGAGCAGGGCAATGATCCCAAAAGGGTACGCGATGCATTGTAGAGCACGGCATGGCATGGCGTAGAAGAGCACCGCAAAAGCGTAGTATCAACCTAGCATTGCATTGCATGCCGTGACATGGCACGGGAAATGACGCCAGCGCTGCAGCGAGAGCACGAGTCGAAACGAGCGGAAGCGCGGAAATGAGGCCAGCGCTGCAGCGGGAGCACGATTCGGAACGAGCGGAATCACGGAAATGAGGCCAGCGCTGCAGCGGGAGCACGATTCGGAACGAGCGGGACCGAAAATGATGCCGGCGCCTCAGCGAGAGCAGCATTTTGGAAACAAATGCAGGCGAAAACCCAATTCCGGGGAAACCTGTGTGTAAAAAACCGTAAGCGTGGGGGGGTCGGACACTGTCAAAACGTGATCAGGGGAAGAGGGAGAGTAGTATTCATATTGAGTAATTGTGAAGGGAGGAGGGAGGAGGGGAGAGGGAGGAGGGAGGAGGGAGGAGGGCGGAGGAGGAGGAGGGAGGGAGGAGGGGGGGGGGGGCCCAGCTCGTGGGGCTCGCGGCGGCGGCGGGCGTCGTCTGGCCTGGGCCGCCGTGTGTTGGCCGTGCTCTGCCGGGGCCGTCGGGCTCCCTGTGGCGCCTGTGTGGAGGCGGGGGGGGGCGCGGGCTGCCGCGTGGCGGCCGCGGCGCTCGCGGCCGGGCCCGGGGCCCCGCGGGCGCTCCTCCCCGGGGGGTGGGCCGCGGAGGCCGCGGCGGGCGCCGAACGCGCCGGCCGACACGCCGGGCCCCTCCTCCCCCTCCTCCTCCTCCTCCTCCTCCTCCTCCTCCTCCTCCTCCTCCTGCTCCTCCTCCTCCTCCTCCTCCTCCTCCCCTCCTCCTCCTCTCCTCCTCCTCCTCCTCCTCCTCCCTCCTCCTTCTTCTCCTCCTCTCCCTCCTCCTCCTCCTCCTCTCTTCCCCCTCTCTTTTACGTTAGATCGACCCTAGGTTACCCTGTGGCGTTAGTCCTCCTCCTCCTCCTCCTCCTCTTCCTCCTCCTCCTCCTCCCTCCTCCTCCTCCTCCTCCTCCTCCTCCTCCTCCTCCTCCTCCTCCTCCTCCTCCTCCCCCTCCTCATAATCCTCCCCCCCTCCTCCTGCTCCTCCTCCTCCTCCTCCACCTCCTCATCCTTGTCCCCCCCTCCCCCTTCACGTGGCTTGCAGCGCGGCCCCGCAGCAATTCTGTCCGGATGGGTCGAGCGGGAGGTCATTCAGGCGAGTGCAAAAAATGGATCAAAGGGGGCGTGGACTAGCGACGAGCGAGGCGGCTCTCCGTTCGCATCTTGGGGAGGGCACCTCCCCCATCCACGGATTTGGCGACCGCGCGCCAAATCCATGGATCGCTAATCCATTCTCGCGCGCCCCCGAGTCATTGGGGGTGGCCTACATGTGGGGCTGAGAAGCAGCCGCGCGCAGAAGGGGGGTAGGGCGAGGGGGGAAAATGCTTCGCAGAAGCACCCCTACTTCTCAGAAGGCGCGGGCCGGATCTATGGAAGCAGTCTCTTTCTCAGGCGCCTTCCCCCCTCCCCCTACCCCTTGCGCGCGCCGCCAGAAGAAAGCTCCCCTGAAGGGGCCCTTCCAGGCACCTTTTAGGCCCTTATTGGCTCCAAAAGGGGCCGTAGAAGCGCCCCTTTGGGGTCCGTTTCGACACCCTTCCTCCAGGTCCCCGCCCCAATGCTACCCGCACGGGTGAGGAGGGAGGAGAGAGGAGGTCAGGCGGGCTGAGGGCAGAGGATGACGTAGGGCGGAGCACATGGATAAGGGAGGGAGCAGGATGAGGAAGGGGGGCGGGATGACCGAGGACGGAGGACTTGGGAAGGAGGGGGGGAGGAAGGAGAGGAGATGGAGAGGCCCAGGACGGATCGTCCTGTAGACCTTCCAGGAAGACCGCGCTCGGGAGAAGATAGAGTGAGGCGTCGTTTTGCGTCTGTGCCAATGGCCGCCTGTAGCGCGACACTTGGGCTGTCTAGAAAACACACAACATGGTCTACTTATT